GGTTTGATTCCCCACTCCTCCATTCGCACCTGGCTGGATGACCTTGGGCAAGCCGTAGCTCTGATAAGAGCTGTCCTTGGAAAAGAGCCGTTTCTGTCAAGAGCTCTCTCAGTCCCACCACCTACCTCACAGGGTGTCTGTTGTGGGGAGGGGGAGGGAAAGGAGTTTCTAAGCCGCTCTGAGACACCTTTGGGTAGTGAAGGGCGGGGTATAAATCCAATCTCTTCTTCTCTTCTTGTTTCCAAAAAATTCCACTGAGGAAAAGAAAAGAAAAAGCTCACTGAGTTTGGTGGTTCTGTTCTTCTCTTTCCTAAGGCGCAAGCCGCGTTGCAAGGGGCTTTAGCTGCATTCTCTTGCTTGCTGTTACTATATAAATGCTTCCAGTTTGGTACACGATCCTGGACTGGACTGTGCAAGTACAGGAATTGGTTGGTGCTGGGCACGGACCGTTAGGAAAGGTTCTGGTCCTTAAGGTTTGAAAGTCTGTGAAACCTCAGGAGGCCGGAGAGTCTGAGCAGGGGGTCTGGGCTGTGAGGCAGCCTCTTTCTCCTTCCCCCTCACCACCATGTCTGTGGTATGCCCCCTTTCTCTCCTCCTTCGAAACCTTCCTCTGCAAAGCCTTTGCCGTAACCTTTGAATCCTCCACCCTCCCGCTGAAACGAAGCCCCCCTGTGCGTAGGTGAAAGGCACGCGTGTTCTCGCCTCCCTTTCTTGCCTCTTACGGGGCAGGTTGTAGACAGCGAGGTCTTTGGGGCAGGGACCTGCCGCCTTACACTCTTACGAAGTGCCACGCACACCCGGGGCATTACAGAAATAATAATACCAGGGAAAGCAGGGCTTTTGTGGAGCAAGTAGATTGGCAGAAAGCTGCTTCGTATGCGCCGGCTTTCCTTGATGTAAAATTCAGCTGCTTTGCTGCCAAATGGAGCACGGTATTGGTGGTTTGTTCTTACTTTTTGTGTTGAGAACGTAAGAAGAGCCTTGCTGGGTCAGACCCAGGGCTGCCCAGTCCAGCATCCTGTTTCCTGCAGTGGCCAATTCGGAGGCCTCTGGGCAGTGGCCCCGTAACTGCTATTCAGTCACACTGCATCTGAATGTGGAGTCTCCATTTATCTATTAGCCAGCAGCCAGGATGGGCATCTAGTCGTCTTCTGAGGCACCTTTTCCTGCTGTGTTACTTTTTTCTTCCTCCAGGGAGCCCAAGATGGCAAACCTGGTAACCCCCATCCTCCATTCTATCTTTATGTGGGTTGGACTGTAACTGTCCCCAGGTAATTTATAAAAAAAGTTGCTGGGTAACCGTTTGAACTCGGGTCTCCCCCGTCATTGTCCAATGCCGTGCTGGAGCGGCCCTGGTTCCAAAAGTTAACTGCGGTGAGTCGGAGCAAACCAGAGAGGGCTTTCTCTCGATGCTGTTCCCCGCTTCGCTCTTACGCTGCGAGTGACTCAGAGAAGAAATGAATGGAACCGGAGCCCTGCTCTATCTGTGCTTATTAATACAATTTTAAGAATGTCACGGTTGTACTTCATTAACCCCGGCCAGAACAACGGGAGAAGAAGAAGAAGAAGAAGAAGTCAGCCCCCCCCCCCCCAGTGCCGGGAAGCAGAGTTTTTTATTTATTCATTAGGAGTTTATTTTCTTTTTGTGAGTAGTGTTTGGTTAACTTCACTGCGCAGTGGTTCGCTGGAGAGACTCTCTCGCTGTGCGTTCGGTATGCCGATATTCTAAGCTAGAGTGATTCCTGATTGCTATGCAACATTTCTCCATAGTGTAATGGGCTTCCCGAGAGAGTCGTAAAATATAATGTGAAAAAAAAAGTGTACTAAGATGTGGAGCACTATTGGAGTCAAGGTTGGCTCTGAAGTTCGCCTTCTGTGAGCAGGAGGACTCCCGCCGACCCCTGCCTTGTGCATTTTGGACATGAAGCTCTCAGTGTACAGTCCTGTCCCCGCCGCGTGGCGGGCGTCCTAGAAGTACGAGGCCCACAGCATCTAAGCGCAGCTCCTTGCCCTTTGTGGTTGATCGCATCGGGTCGGGTTAGTCAGATGTGTCCAGGAGGTAATAAATGCCTCTCTGCGGGACGGCGTAGTTCCGACCAAAAGCAGCGGTCAATCGTGAGAGTCCTCTTGAAGAAGGCATCCCTAGACTCAAACGATCTTAATAACTGCCGGCCACCAGCTAGGATTCCGTTCTTGGGCAAGATGCTTGAGCGGCTGATGGTTACTCAGCTTCAAGTGGTTTTGGAGGAGACGGATTCTATCTAGATCTGTTTTAATCCAGAGCGAGGCCGTGGCTGGGGAGAGGAACCGCCTTTGTGCTGTGAGGCCCAACTGGGCTTGTTTCGTGCTCTGCGCTGTTTACCGTCTACATGAAACTGCTGGGAGAGGTTTCCAGGGCTTCGGATGGAAGGTCCAAGAATACGCAAATGGCACCCAGCTGTATTTCTCCTTAACAGCTGACCCACTAACAGAGATGTCGAACTCATTTGTTACAAGGGCCAGATCTGGCATAAATGTCACTTTGTCCGACCAGGCCGTGTGGGCCATAAAATGTAACGCCAGGTACGGGAGGTATAAACTTTATAAAGGACACAGGCAAACCCAATGAACAATACTGTTTTTTACTCAAAATACAAACATGCTTACAAACATTAACGCTCTTACAGTATTTCCTTAAAGTATCTCCCTGATGCCCACCCTCCCGCTTCCACCGCCCATTACTCATTAGCCCTGGGACAGGATACAGGGACATAATGCACAGTCTCATCTGGCAATAAGAACATAAGAGAACATAAGAGATGCCAATGTTGGATCAGGCCAAAGGCCCATCCAGTCCAACACGCTGTATCACACAGTGGCCAGAAATACCAGTGCCATCAGGAGGTCCACCAGTGGGGCCAGGACATTAGAAGCCCTCCCACTGTTGACTCCCCCCAAGCACCAAGAAGACAGAGCATCACTTGCCCCAGAGTCCCTATCTATACCTTGTGGCTAAGAGCCACTGATGGACCTCTGCTCCATATGCTTATCTATGGAGGCAAGGACCAGTTGCTCGCAGGCCAGATAAGAGCCATGAACGGGCCATATATTTGACACCCCTGCACTAGAAGATCCTGAACAGTTGCCTGGAGAAGGTAATGGGACAGATGAGGGCCAGTAGAAACCAACAAAACAGTAGTGCCGTGGGTGAGTAACAAGTTCCAAGGAGTCAGCCTGTCGGGGAGGGGGCATTGCCCTCCCCCCAAAGAGCAGCTCAGTAGCCTGATGGTGCAGCTGGTTTGTGGCCTGCAGTCGGAGTGCCTTCTGTCAGCTTTGTCCGAGGCTCCAATTCACACCCGTCCGTCGAGACGTGCGATCCGGCCACATTGAATGCATCCAGGCTAGATTACTGTAATGTGCTTTCCGTGAGGCTGCCTATCTGGAAATTGCATTCGGCTCAAGACTTCGCAGCAATGCTGCCGTTGCAGGCCGGACACGGGGATTGCATCGCCCCGGCGCTGAAAGATCGGCAGCGGGTGCCTGTCTGTTTCGGGGCACAATTCAAGCGGCTCGTTCTTATTTTTGGAGGCCCTAAATGGCTTGGAGCTCGAGTACCCGGAGGCCCCGTGCCTCCCGTACTGTCCAGGCCGCAAGTCACAGTCCTCTTCACTAGGCTGTGCCTTCGGAGGGGAGGCTTTTCCAAGCAGTGGCTCTCTGACTTCAGAATGTCTTTCCCCTTTTGGGTTGCCCGGTTGCCTTCCTTGCCGTCCTTCAGGGGCCAGGGCAGAACGTTTCTTCTTACTCGGGCGTCTAACTTAGAGGCTCCGTCTTTTAGAGATGTTATTATGGTCTCCTTCTAGCTCGTGGCGTGTACCGTGAATGTTGTTCTAAAGCTGTTTTGCTCTGTTTTGTGCTTGTTTCATGGCAGTTTAGGACTGACCGTTTTTGGAGTGTTTTAATGGTTTGAATGCATTGCTGTATGTTTGCGGGCCGTCTCAAGCAGCCAGGTGCGTTTCCAAAATTGATAAATACAAACCAGGTGCCCTGGCCGCGCCAAGGAGCTACCTGTTCTTTTCGATGAGCGGACCCATTGCCTGAACAGGTTGGTAGCTTCCTATCCTTTGCACGGAGCATTCATCTGCTCACAGAATAGATGGGAATCTTCAGTGCAGCCCAGGTTCCTGCCAGAGGAGCAGGAAGGCACAGGTTGCGGGTGACATTGGGCAAGACAGCCTGTCGTGGAGAGTCAGGGTTAAGCGGAGTCTCCATGGCTGCTCAGGCCAAAGAGCCCCGGTTTCTTACGGCAAAGCTCTTAAAGCGGGTGGGATTTCTCATGCTCGTAATGTGTCAGAATATAGTCCTGCAGTTGCCTCCTTTGGGGCACCTGGCCAGAATCTCAGCCCCACAGTCTAGCTTTCTGGGTCCGATTCAGACTCAGGCGTCCTGGATGCGCCAATCGCTCTGTGAATGTGAGCGACACGAGTCACCTCATGCCAGAGCTAGGGGTCGAACCCAGGAGTCCTG